AGATAGGCAGATAGGCAGATAGATAGGCAGATAGAATGATAAATGGATGATAGAAAAAGAATAATAAATTAATAGAAAGAATGATAAATGGATGGATGGGCGGACAGATAGGTAGATAGGTAAGGTGAATAAGACGGATGGATAGGCAGGTAGGTAGATACAGATATAGATAGAGGAATATACATGCATGCATGCATACATACATACATACGATAGACAGGTATGCTTAAAAGGCTCTGCTTCAGACTTCTCCCAGGCAAGGGGCCTCTCTGCTATTCATTCATCCAGGCACACATATACAAACCTGGGCGACACCATGCTTGCCTTAAAGGAACTGCAGGTGAACCCCCGCAATTATTCTGAGGGTCTCAAGCCAGGTGGGATGTTGAGAAAGATGTTGAGACTCTAGAAAGAGTGCAGAGAAGAGCAACCAGGATGATTAGGAGACTGGAGGCTTAAACATACAATGAACGGATGTAGGAACTGGGCCTGGCTTGTTTAGGGAAGAGAAGGACCAGGGGAGACAGGAGAGCAGCCTTGGAGGGGCTGCCCCAGAGACGAGGTGGTCCCAGAGGTGAGGTGCCCCAGAGACGAGGGGGTCAAGCTATTCTCCAAAGCACCCAAAGGCCAGACAAGGAATAATGGATGGAAACTGGACAAGGAGAGATTTAACCTGGACATTTCTTGACAATGAGAGCAATCAACTCATGGAACTGAAGTTTCCTTCAGATGTCGTGACAGCTTCATCCCTGGAAGCTATTAAGAAGAGACTGGACTGCCATCTGTCAGAAATGGTGTAGGGTCTCCCGCTTGGGTGGGTGGGTTGGACTAGATGACCTACCAGGTCCCTTCCAACTCTGTTAAATCTGTTAGAAAATTGATTTAGTGCAGGTAACCACAGTGATAGATGTATCCCAAGATGAATCCAAGATGTTGGAAATGCAAACAACCAGGGGTACCTTCTTCCACATGTGGTGGCTATGCCCTGAAGCCAAGAAATACTGGGTCAAAATACAGAGTTGGTTCCAATAAATAACAAAATGTCAATTAGAGTTTGAACCTGAACAGTTCCTTTTAGGGATAATTAAGGGGAAATGTAGTAAAGAGACAAATATATGATACTACACATAACGACAGCGGCGAGGATTGCATTCGCACAATGTTGGAAGCGAGACAGTATGCCATCGGAGGAATTAGTAAACCAAAAGGTATTAAAATGTGCTGAAATGGACAAACTCACTCTAGAGCTAAAAGGAAAAGAAGAGTCAAGACTATGCGGTGTGGGATAATTGGTATGAATGGTTGAATAGTAGGAATAAGAATAATAGAGATAAGAAAAATGTACATATAAATGTACATATAAATGTATATATAAATGAATATAAAAGTATGGAGATCTGTATATGTCAGGGGTCCCCAACCACCGGGCCGCGGACCGGTACCGGTCCGTGGAACATTTCCTACCAGGCCGCTGGTTTGCTGGGCGCCGCCATCTTGTTTGACGAGAAAGTGCTTCCAGGTGAGCTTTTCTGGTTGGAAAGCGGCGTTTGGGTCCTGAAGGAATCCTCGCGCCTTAGTTTCATCGAAGCGGGGGGCTTTGAACGGAACTCAGGCGCGAGGATTCTTTCAGCACCCAAGGCAAGGCGAGCTGAGCAACCGTCCCGAAGCCGTCCCGAAGCGAAGCCCATCGACAAAGGTACAAAAGAGGAGTTGAAGGTGGCGGGGAGAAGCGGGGGACGGCTGGCCGGCCAGTCGCTCGGCTCGCCTTGCCTTGTCATGCGTGCTGATGCCGGTACCAGGCCGCGGATCATTTTGTGATGCCGGTACCGGGCCGTGGCACAAAAAAGGTTGGGGGCCACTGGTATATGTAACAGTGATGCCACAGTATTGTTAAAGATGAGAATGAGATATGTAAATGTGAAAAAAGCATAATAAAAATAAAGAAAAAAAACTCGGAAGCACAAAAACACAAAATAGGTTTCGTCAACAGTCAACAATCTTTCAGTCCCAAATGTTGGCATGAGAGACGTTCAAAGTAAAGGTTGTAAATGCCTAAGCACACCCCTTTTATTGGGAAAAGAAGCGGGAGCCAAAATATTTCTGGCTCTAACTTTCTTGAATATAATTTCTGTGGTGCTACTGCATACAGATGTTGTTTGCAGTTCTGGCTACCACACTTAAAGATGACTTCTGCAGAGCTGGAAAAATGCAGAAAACGAACCTTGTTCCTGGATTGACCAGCACCCATCTTAATCCACACATAAATGTTTACTTTTTTCTACACGCGCCCCGTTCCCTCTTTCCTTGTGGGTTCTCTCCCTGTGGGAATCTAGTTCATCTCCTTGGGGGAATGTCGGTGTTGGTGCTAGAGGCTATAATCCAGGTCCTTGGAGAGACCCATTCCACCGGAGTCTCATGACATCCCATCCTCTACTTGCCCCAAATGTGCTCCTGCTTTGTAGGGTCTGAAGAAGCCAAACATCGAAGAGATTCGTCACGCCAAGAATGCCGTCTTCAACCCATCCATGTTTGGAAGCTCCCTGCAAGAAATCATGAACATGCAGAAGGAGAGGTACCCGGACCGCCAGCTTCCGTGGGTGCAAACCAGGCTATCAGAAGAGGTCCTCGCGCTCAACGGAGACCAGACCGAAGGCATCTTCAGGTAATTTGCACCTTGAAGGGCTGTCCTTTCTCCCTCTGAATCAGTTGAGGGCTGTGAAATGATGGAGATGTTGCGGTTGGAAGAGCGGGCTGGGGTGGTGTTAGGAGGGTGTTCTTGAACTCGGGGAGAAATTAGGATTATGGCAATCTAAAGATTCTTGAGTTATTGGAGTAATGGCGAAGGAGCTTGGAAAAAAATCAGATTGGACAGATTGAGGAGCAGAGGTGCTGGTGTACTGGGAAATCCCCAAGAGGGGATGGTGGAACAGAAAGGAAAAAAAGGCTACGAGATACTGGAACGAGGAATTATTGAAAAAGGCGGAAGAAATGAAAAAGAGAGAGAAAGTAGGCCCTGTGTTGTAGGTTTTTATGCGGGAATTTTCTTAAGTGGACAAGCAGGAATCATCAAACTGTGGGGTTGAAAAGGACCACAAGACCAACCTGGCAGGTGGCCACCCAGCCATTTCCTTAAAAACTTCCAGAGATGGAGAACCCATAACTGCTACCCGCTATTGGCTAAATTTTACCGTACTATCTGGAAATTTTAGCTTATATTTAGGCAACTTACCTGCAACTCTCACCTATTATTACTGATTTCTGTGGCCACAGAAAATAGTTCTTGATCATCTTCCCTTCTCTGCAGTGTCCCAGGTACAGTTTCTTCCCTTTGCCTTCTTTTCTCCAGAATGAACATCTCAACTGCTTCATCGTGTCCTCTTGGACATATCTTCAATTCCTTATAAACCATCTTTGTCTGGACTTGTTCTAACTCAGGGGCAGTGGTGGGCTGCCGCTGGTTCGGACCGGTTCTAGAGAACCGGTAGTTCCGACGATCAGCAGCGCCTTCCCTATCCTGTTCTATATTTCCACCTTTTTCAGCTCAGCTGATCCGTGCGGCACAGTGGATTACCGCGCCTCAGCTATTCTACTTACCGGGGAAGCTAGGAAGTGAGCTCTAGAGGTTTAAATTGGTGTTTATGGAATGCTGCGCACACGCAAAGCACACACTCACTGTTCAACCAGTTGCAGTCCATCACTGCTCGGGGGTGTCAAACTTGTATCGTCACAACGTCATCATGTGACATCATGACTCTTTCCCCCTTCGCTAAATCAGGCGTGGGTGTGGCCAGTGCATGATGTATCCGGGCCGCGACTTTGAGAGCCCTGTTCTAACTTGTCAATATGAGACGTTGGTGTCAGGTCCCCAAATCCTGGAAAGACATGTAGGGTTACTTCTGAGCAGTTTCCTTTACTGTTCCTCACCGGTAGACCGAATCTTGCCAGACTGTAGTAACTACTTGCATCATTCAATTATTCTGAGAACTTCTAGGGCAGAGCCGTCTTAACTCTCTTCCTCCCAACTGAACTATCCAAATTTTGCTATCTCTTATCCCCTGGAATGCAGCCCCTCCCCTTTGGGAATCCATACTACATTCCACCACAGCTGTTGGCGAAAAGGCCTGGCAGCTTGAAACTGGTATAGAGACCTACAGAAAAGAGGCTTAACAATTGTGCGCAGGCACCATGTGATTGTTCACCCATTATTGAAAGGAGCAAGGAACATGACACTCTCTCTGCCTTCAGAAGTTTATTCCACTCCATATTATTTATTATTATTATTATTATCATCATCATCTTGTGACCTGGTTCGTGTTCACCTTTCCATACAACACAGAGGAATGTTGAAACTTATTTCCATGCCTACGATCTTTTTTCTCTTTGGGTTTACCACCACGTAAACATTCATCCTTTTAGAGATTAAACTCACAGTGAAATATCCCAAACCGATTGTCCTTGCAGGTGAATCGGTTGGTGGGAGGGTTTAATCCGTGAGCAGATGGCCTGGTGTGCAATATTGATATGCAAGAAGCGGGGAAAAGGATGTTACTTGTGTTTGTGTAGCTTGCTAAATGAAGCTTGGGTGGGTTGTTGTTTTGTTTAAGAAGCACTGTAACAGATAATCAGAGTTGGAAGGGACCTTGTAGGTCATCTAGTCCAACCCCCTGCCCAAGCACAAGACCCTACACCATTTCTGACCGATGGGAGTCCAATCTCTTCTTGAAAGCCTCCACTGATGAAGCTCCCGCAACTTTGAAGGCAACTTCTGTTCCATGGGTTGATGGTTCTGACGGTCAGAAAGTTTCTCCTTATTTCCAGGTTGAATCTCTCCTTGATCCGTTTCCATCCATTGTTCCTTGTCTGGCCTTCGGGTGCTTTGGAGACTAGCTTGATCCCTTCCTCCTGTCTGGCAGCCCCTCAAGTATTGGAAGATGGCTATCCTGTCTCCCCAGGTCCTTCTCTTTCCTAGACTGGCCAGGCCCAGATCCTACAACTACTCTTTATATTTAGAATATAATAAGAGTTGGAAGAGAACTTGTAGGTCATCTAGTCCAACCCCCTTCTCAAACAGGAGACCCTACACCATTTGTGACAGATGGCAGTTCAATCTCTTCTTGAAAGTCTCAAGCGATGAAGCTCCCACAACTCCCGAAGGCAACTTCTGTTCCACTGGTTGATGGTTCTCAGTGTCAGGAAATTCCTCCTTATTTCCAGGTTGAATCTCTCCTTGATCAGTTTCCATCCATTATTCCTTGTATGGCTTTCAAAGGTGCTTTGGAGAACACCTTGACCCCTTCCTCTTCTCTGCGGCAGCCCCTCAAATATTGGAAGATGCTCTCCTGTCTCCCCTGGTCCTTCTCTTCCCTAGACTAGCCAGGTCCAGTTCCTGCAACAGTTCATTGTATGTTTTAGCCTCCAGTCCCCTCATTATCCTGGTTGCTCTTCTCTGCACTTTTTCTAGAGTCTCAGTATCTTTTCTATAGCGTGGTGACCAAAACTGGATGCAGGACTCTCAAGACTTAATAGAGTGATATTAGTACCTCCTTTGATCTTGATTGTATCCCTCTGTTAATGCAAATTAGGATTGCATTAGCTTTTTTGGCTGCTGCTGCACACTGCTGGCTCCTGTTTAGCTGGTTGTCCACTAAGACTCCAAGGTCCCTCTCACAGTTCCTGCTATTGAGCCTGGTTTTACCCAGTCTATAGGTGTCCTTTGGGTTTTTCTTGTCTGAGTGTAGGACTTTACTTTTCTCTACGTTGAATTTCATTTTGTTAGATATGGCCCAGTGTCTTGAGTTTGACAATCCTGGCCCAACGTGTCTTCGTGTCTCTGAGGAATTCCTTTCTTCTCTTCTGCAGAGTTCCTGGGGACATTGATGAAGTCAACGCCCTCAAACTGCAGGTGGACCAGTGGAAAATCCCCACTGGTTTAGAAGACCCCCATGTTCCAGGTAAGGGTGACAGCTGTTGTGGAAGGACATCCCTGCAGGACAGCCTGGTCTCTCTCCTCCAGCTTTGTCCAGGACAAAGTCATTTTTGATGCTTTGTCCCGCTTTGAATTTTGATCCCCTTTTCGGTTTATAAACTGGAAGACTAAAAGATATTTTAAAGATAAAAGATATTTCGCTGTTTGGGGAAGTCGCACCACATCCTCAGAGACTCTTCCCATCCTGCTCACAATCTTTGTGAACTGTTGCCTTCTGGCAGAAGATACGGAACAATGAAAACTCGGACCACACGTTTCCTGAACAGTTTTTATCCCAGTGCTATAATTGCATTTAACAATTAACTTAAGGACCACCATCAGTGAGCTGTTGGACAGTATTTGCGTGACACAAAAATAACAAAGTCACAAAAGTAGAATAAGTTCCCTTTAATGCCTCCAACTTGGCCCCCAATGTCTAGTTATCCTCGGCGGGAGATCAAACTCCTCCCAAACCAGTCTACGAAGGGATGAAATGCAGTCCGAACCCAAAATAAAGATAAATTAAAAATAACAAAATAACACAAACCACACTGAAGTAATTAACACGGCAGGCCAGGATGATAAATTGCAGACTTCCAAAAGATAACGCAGCACCCACAGTTAGGAGGACGCCAAAACCCAGATAAGCCTTGACAAAGATAATTCACGCTTTGCTTCCAGCAAGGAGCTGTGTGCAAACGCCCTTCTTATATCCTGTTCTCCCAGCTGCAACTAATGAAAGGGATCAGGGCCCTTTTCTCTCCCATAAGCCATGTTGCTCCCTTCTCCGCTCCTCCCTGCGTGCCCTAGGATGAAGAGGGGCTGACCCTGGGTCTTCCTCTGAATGCCCAGCCGGACTGTGCCCTTCCCCCATTTCTTCCACAGCCACCGGAGCCACACTCCCACTCTCTGTCAGCTGTTCAATTTCCCCCTCAGAATCAGACTCCCAACAAGGGCATGACAGTATTACTTGGTCTGTTGTGTGGATGTTTGTGTGTTTTTAGGGGGCGGGGAAGTTTGGCATGTGGGGGTGTTTGGGGATTGTCGTGTGTGTGTGTGTGTGTTGAGTCTGGTCTCTGGTGTTATGTGAATTTCGTTCTATGTGTATACTGTGTATATACGTACAATGGGGATGCTGGATTTACTTGAGAAACTTGTAAGCAACTTAACTGCAGGGATCCACTTATCAGGTGTGGCAAGAAAGGTCATAAAATGGGGCAGAACTTACTGAATTACTGTCTGTCTCACTGAGCAACGGAAATTTTGGGCTCAATTGTGTCGTACATCAAGGACTGCCTGTACTGTCCACCCAATACACAGATCCATGGTTATGATATAGTTGATTGAAGAGAGAGGAACCAAATACTTCATCTTTAACAGTTGGTAATCTTGGGATGTGGTGGCTCAAGTGGCTAAGACACTGAGCTTGTCAGTCAGAAAGGTCGGCAGTTTGGCGGTTCGAATCCCTAGCATCGCGTCATGGAGTGAGCTCCTGTTATTTGTCCCAGCTTCTGCCAACCTACCAGTTCAAAAGCAGATAAAAAAAGCAAGTAGAAAAATTGGGACCCCTTTGGTGGGAAGGGAACAGCGTTCGGCGTTTCATCATGCCAGCCACATGGCCACGGAGATGTCTTCAGACAGCGCTAGCTCTTCGGCTTTGTTACGGAGATGAGCACCGCCCTCTAGAGCTGGAAACGACTAGCACGTGGGTATGAGGAGGGGAACCTTTAAGAGAGGGCTGGTGTGAGGATGGCATTCAGGAGGAAGGGAATGAGTTTTGACAAACTCAAGAGTTGGTTTCAATGAAGTCTCAAGCCAAGGAGATCTTCTTTCCTCTTCTGGGACCTTTCTGATTCTTCTCCTTTCTCCCCGCAGCCTCCTTGCTGAAGCTCTGGTATCGCGAACTTGAGGAGCCTCTGATCCCGCACGATTTTTATGAAGAGTCCATCACCCACTACGAGAATCCCGAAGCTGCCATCGCCGTCGTCCACTCCCTGCCCAGGATCAACAAAATGGTGCTTTGCTACCTCATCCGTTTCCTCCAGGTAAGGTAGCTTCAGAGTCCACCTTATGGATGATGGTGTCTGTGGAGATTTTCATTCATCCAGGTCATGGTTGTCACAAAGGTGCTTTTTTCAAGAGGCAACTGGACTTTCTTTGTTTTTCCTTGAAGACGTTTCTCTTCTCACCCAAGAATCTTCTTCGGCAGTTCCAAGAAGGTTCCACATCCATTTGCACTATTCAGATGTCCCTATGGGGACAGATAAACCTGCAAGTGGCCTCAATGTTTCTCAGAGATCAAAAGCATGCCTTCTCCATCCCTAGGGGAAGGAGGACGGTCCAGCTTTCTCCACCGACACGATTGCGTTAGGCTGGGGCATATGAAGTCCTCCAAGAAGGATGAAGGATGCCTTGAGAAGTTGAACTCCCAAGGGTGGACATAGAACATAGAATAATAGGACTATTTGGACTATTCTAGTTGGAGGTCTTGAAGTCCAACCCTCTGGCTGGAGACCCTATATCCATGATGGTGAACCTATGGCACACGTGTCACAGGCAGCATGCAGAGCCATTTGTGCCTGCATGCGAGCAGCAGGCATACTTACCTCACTGTGCATGTGCATGCCTCATAGATGATATTCAGACAGTTTGAGGCCTTTTTTGGCCTCCCAGAGGCTTGAGGAAGGCTTCTGCAGGCTTTGCAGGCCGAAAACAAGGCCCGTTTCATCACTTCCTGTTTTTCCAAAAAATACCGGAAGTGATGGAATGGGCCTAGTTTTCGGTCTGCAAAACCTACAGAAGCTTTCCTCAAGCCTCTGGGAGGCCGAAAAAGGCCTCAAATCGCCCAAAATCAACTGTTTACTTTACTTTACTTTACTTTACTTTATTGTCATTGCACCTCATACAACGAAATCAAACACCATCTTCAGTGCACATCATGACCATGTCCATGAAAATAAACACAAACACACATCCTTCACCCTTCACACATTGAACCAGAAACCCCCGACACCACACCAACACTGCACTATACAGCAGAATAGTGAAGCGTAGTGCAGGTAATGGGGGGGGGATTGTGCTCGCATGCGTAGGGGGGCATGCATTGCCTTCTGGGTGCTAGCATGCAAGTGCGAGCATGCTAGCGCACGCACAATTTTTGGCACAGGAGCCCAAAAAGGTTAGCCACCACTGTCCTATATCATTACGGACAAATGGCTGTCGAGTCTCTTCTTAAAAACTTGTGACAACTTCCAAAAGTAAGTCATTCCATTGATTGATTGATTGATTGATTTTCACTGTCAGGAATTTTTTCCTTAGTTCTAGGTCTCCACACTCCCTGCTCCTCAGAGTAGGAAGACCCTGAAATTGTTTTTCTCTCCTGAAATATGTGGGCATGTTCATCATCTATTTGGATTTTGGATGCATTCTGCAAATTAGCCCATTTAGGGTAGTTTGGTTCAAAAAGGGTCTAGGACGACTAGCTACAGTCTCGTCGCCAGACAATTCAATGTGGGATTAGTTCCTTTTTTTATTCACCAAAGCATTATAAAAGCTGATCGTCATAGGAATGATTTCCTTTGATGCAAGAGGCAAAATAATTTTGGTGAAAAAGTGGTCAACCAAAATAAAGAAAACTAAGTGAATCCCACAGCTAGTGGTCACAGTAAGTTGCCCTTCAGTGAGTTGGTTGTGGTGAGTTGACCATGGCAAATTGTCCCATTCTGGTTCAAAAACATTTACCTCAACGATGTGTTGTTTTGTCCAATTTTCAAAGTTTACAGACATGAGAATGTCAGGGAATTGCATAGCAGGTGTCCAAATGAAGTCAGAAGTGCTGCCGTGGATGTGTAGTTTCATATAAATGAATATATTTTACAACTATATATACAGCAAACTAGATAGTCAGGCAAACAGGAGCATCATGAGGTAAATCTTAGAGCACAAAACAGCGACAGAAGAAAAAGGCGGGAAAAAAGGGAAACGCCCCCTCCACACCCCTAGCAACCAATCACAGTGCAGATTGCCTCATGCAGGAGCAAACATTCTCCAACCAGTCAACCACAACTATGTGTTTTGGCTCACTGCACAACCCCACTGCTCCCGCCACTAAATTTATATTAACAGAAAGTTTTAGTAGTATATTAGATAATCTCCGATAAATTGAGTAATCTTTTCAGAGATATTTTCTCAATGCCTGGATTCTTTGTTCCTTCCCTGACAAAAAATTGAGAAATTTATGTTCAGAAATGTATTTGCCTTGAAAACAACTCACACTGAACTGTGTAGCGCAGTCAAACGTTAGCACAAATGTTTTATGATGTTTTACATTATGTCATAAACTGTTCCATGATGTCATAAAATGTTTTATAAATGTTGTCAAATTTCAATACCTCGGGAGTTATGGGTTCTGGATTTGGGATGCATCCTGTACATTAGCCCATTTGAGGTACCTTAGTTCAAAAAAAATTGTATGTTTTTTGTTTTTATTATTTTTTTCCAAGCGTGTTTTTGATAAGAGATATAATTAGGAACATGATGATGAGTACAGCATGGGTATGGATAAAAGAGGATATTAGGACAGGGACGGTAGGCACGTTGGTGCGCTTATGCACGCCCCCTACAGACCTCTTAGGAATGGGGTGAGGTCAACAGTAGACAGTCTAAGGTTAAAGTTTTGGGGGTTTGGGGAAGAGACCACAGAGTCCGATAGTGCATTCCAGGCATAACAACTCTGTTGTTGAAGTCGTATTTTCTGCAGTTGAGTTTGGAGCGGTTTATCTTAAGTTTGTATCTATTTTGTGCTCATGTATTGTTGTGGTTGAAGCTGAAGTAGTAATTGACAGGTAGGACGTCGTAGCAGATTATTTTATGTACTATGCTTAGGTGAGACTGAAGGTGGCATAGTTCTTGCATAGTTAAAGTGATGTAGTTATTGCCCTACGGTCTGCCGTTTGTCCAATTAAAGGTTACAAGAATGAGACTTTTAGTACAGGGAGTCCTTTGAGTTACAACAGTTCGTTTAGTGACCCTTCGAGGTTGCAACGGCACTGAAAAAGGTGACTTATGCCCCCTTTTCACACTTACGACCGTTGCACCTTCCCCATGGTCACGTGATTTACATTTGGGTACTTGACAGCTGGTTCATATTTAGAAAAGAATAACAGAGTTAGAAGGGACCTTGAAGGTCTTCTAGTCCAACCCCCTGCTTAGGCAGGAAACCTTAACACTGTGATGGTGAACCTATGGAACACGTGCCACAGGCGGCACACAGAGCCATTTGTGCCTGCACATGAGCAGCAGGCAAACTTATCTCACTGCACATGTGCATGCATCACGGCTGATTTTTGGCCAGTTTGAGGCCTTTTTCGGCCTCCCAAAGGCTTGAGGAAGGCTTCTGCAGGCTTTGCAGGCTGAAAACTAGGCCCATTTCATCACTTCCTGTTTTCTCGAAAATACCGGAAGTAACGAAATGGGCCTAGTTTTCGGCCTGCAAAGCCTGCAGAAGCCTTCCACAAGCCTCTGGGAGGCCGAAAAAGGTCTCAAACCGGCCCAAATCAACTGTGAAGCGCAGTGCAGGTAACAGGGTGGTGGGGGTGGGTGGGAATTGCGTGTGCATGCGTAGCGGGCATGGGGGACATGTATTGCCTTCTGGGTGCTGGCACATGAGTGCGAGCATGCTAGCATGCGCACAATTTTTGGCACTGGAGCTCCAAAAGGTTAGCCACTACTGACCTAACCACTTCAGACAAATGGTTATCCAATCCAATTTATGACGTTGAAGTGTCCTCGGGTCACGTGATCACCTTTTGCGATCTTCTGACAAGGAAAGTCAATGGGGAAGCCAGATTCAGTTAACAACCGTGTGACTCATTTAACAACTGTAGGGATTCACTTAACAAATGTGTCCGGAAAAGCTGTAAAATGTAGCAAAACACAAATTTCTCACCTAACAGCATAAATTGTGGGCTCTATTGTGGTCCCTATGTTGAGGACTACCTGTAGTATATAGATTTGCCTCAGTTGTGGGTTGTGACCCCACCCAGTAACACCTCTTCCCTTCTTCTCACTCCTCACAGGTCTTCGTGCAGCCGGGGAATGTGGCCATCACCAAGATGGACGTCAACAACCTCGCAATGGTGATGGCCCCCAACTGTCTGCGCTGCCAGTCAGATGACCCACGGATTATTTTTGAAAACACCCGCAAGGAAATGTCCTTCATCCGGGTGCTCATCCAGCACCTGGACACAGGCTTCATGGAGGGAGTGCTATAGCCCCTGTGCCGAACAGGACCGGACTTTAGTTGGACAACCGTCACCTGAATCTTCTCCCGTATCCCGACGTCAGTCAGTGAAAACCGTTTTTTGATGCAGCAGGAGATTGCCAACCTTGTGAAGCACTCGGAGAGAAAGCTTGTGGGCCACACTGACTTTGCCATCTTGGCTATGCCAACGTGGGCATCTGAAGTTGCCCAGGAAACCTCCCTTGGCACCTGCGCAGTGGACAAAATGAGGCTGCCTCTTAGCGGTCCCCTGGTGGACAGCCTCCTGGCTAGGAACTTCCATCAGGAGCGTCTACATAAATGGACAACCCGACACCATTCGGGAGGACTGTGAACCAAGGTAGAGAGGCCAGGAGGCCTGTCTACCCTCCCCCAAATTAAACCTGTCTAGTGGCAATTGGGGAGGGGGCACAAGTACCGGGTACGGGCAGCTGAAGGAACGTTCAAATGGGTCGAGGCAGGGCGAATATCCAAGATGGTAGCTGAATAATTTTCAGACGAGCCGGAGGGGGTGGGAGGAAACGAAAGGTGATAGAACGCAGATCACAAAGACTGGCGTTGCAGGGCAAGTGAACAGGCCTCCCAGGAGGAGAGGAGGGGAGGGGTTGCCATCAGATTGACCAATTGTGAACTCTAAGGGGGGGGGGGGTGGCACCTCTGGAAGCCATGAACCAGCTGTGGACGAGGCTCAAACACCTGCAGGCGTTTTTAAGATTTGGGGAAGACCCGTTTTCCTTTTTTCTCTCTTGTTGCAGCACAGTCACTGCCAAAGGGGGCCAAGCCATGCAGCCCCCCTCCCCATCTCAACATCTAAGCACCCCCCCCCACAAAAAAAAGGCCTGGTTATTCCACCCTTGAAAACAGGAGGGGAAATAATGAGGAAGGAGTTTCGTTCTGGTGACTCGTTTTTCTTGTCGGGCAGAGTTTTATATACTCTGATACAGAACCGGTGCACTTTCTTGACCTCTCCTTTAAGTGAAAGGGGGTGTGTGTTTGTGTGGATGTGTGGAAAGGTTATCAGGCCCTCCTTGACCCTCGCAACTCCCCAGTTGAGTGGGGGGCGTGACAAGTGGGGTGCCCCGATCCTGGAGTTGTCCATTCTCGCTCAACCTCACCTCAACTTCCCTTCCTGCGCTCAGTGCTTTGGTGTGTTAGAGAGGGTGGGTCTTATACTCGGGCTCCGGGAAGACCCTGTCCACAACCAATTTCTTACGGCACCTTAAGTGATAGACTTTGGCTGGATCTGGGGCATTCTCCACCAGGTTTCCAGATTTTTCATGGCATTTAGAGGTAGGAGTTACGGGGTGGAAAGCAACAGCTACGGAGAGGCTTTCTCCAGGCAATGTTTGAGAATGTTTAACACGCTCTACAAACATGGGCAATAGTTACGGCTCTCTGCCCAACCTATTTCAAAAGGAGTGACCCTCAGCCTTCCATGTTTTTTTCTCAACGTCCACCGTTGAAATCTGATTTCTTTTCGAGAAGCAAAGCCAAACTCTCCGTTTACCTGAGACGGCGGGGGAAAAAAAAATCAGAAAGTGCAACAAGTTGACCTTTGCTTCTCCCATCCATCCCTTCACAACGTTTGGGAGATGTCCTCTGGATCTGTAGGAACATAGCTTCTATCTTCTCCTGGGTCCGGGAACGGACAATCTTACCTTGCGCCTGGGCGCATATGTGCAGAGAACAAGAAAGCGATAGGGCTCATCTTAGAGAAACTAGGTGGTCCTGGATAGGAGAGTTGATGGAGAACATCTTGGACTCTTAACCATGATTCTGGCCTACAGGAAGAGAGAGTTCTGACGCAGCAGAGCTTCTGTCCCAAGGCCTGTCTCTTGCCCTCTTGCCTTCCTGCTTCCTACAGCATATCAGATCGATATCGGCTCTTAAGGCCTTCTCTCTCCACTTGACCAAAAGCCAAGATGGTGGCCTTGAAGTTCTGTGGAGTTGGATGAGCTGTTGTAGTGAGGGGCCTCCCGCCAAGGCAAGTCCACTTCTTGGACGTGGTCGGCCATGGTGGGGCTACCTCAAACTCTGCCGTGCTACACAGGACTCACGTGCTGTGGTTCCTAGCATCTTTCACTGCTTTTAGAGAAGGATGCAAGAGCGCTCCTCGGGGTTGGTTGGCTACTTCTGGCTAACTGGAGGAGAGGGTCCCACCATTTACCGCTTGGGTGCTAAGCAGTTCTTGGAGGAGTTTGTGGTTTCCAGAGAAAGTGCCTTTTATTCCAACAGACCAGGGTCCTCCGATCTGCAGCTTCCTTCTTTTTTTTTTTTTAAAAAAAGAACATCCCATCACTCCAACTCTCTTGCCTTGAGATTATTCCAGGCGCAGGGCGTTTACTTCTAAATCACGTCCTGGTGCAGGATAAAGCATGGATGGAGGAGCTATGTAGCTGGGCAACTCAAAGTCACCCGCCACCTTGTTCAGCATTTAGGTTGGTTCTCAGTTCCCTTAATCCAGCCAGCAAACTCAGGAGGTGGAGAGACAACGTACGTGGCAGAAGTCAACTCCTGGAAGCATCGGGACTTTTCCCACTTGGAATCAGTCCAGGAAGAGGTCAAGCCAGTTGGCCGGATTGCAAGATTTGGCGTGCCTTTGCTATCAACATTCTTGGGGGGGCTCCTCCACTCCAATAAACTGGAGTCCAAATGGATCTCCAAACAGGAAAACCAGGGCCACCAGTCTTCCAGCCTGGATCGTAACTCAAAAAAAAAGAGTCCCACCAAACGCCTTCCGTTCCGAATAGCCCTTTCCCAGCTTAGCCGCTCAAGTTTCACCGCTGACCTTTTTCAACTTGAGGGTGGGGGGAGGGGAATCCCTGCTTTGTTTGCACTTGTGAACGGTTGATGAAAAACAGCAACAGCGCAGAAACAAGAGGAAAGACCAAAACCTCCAAGCCGGGTCTGCAAAAGCCCTTGGGCCCTTCTTTTTCCGACGGTCATCGATTTTGCACAATCAGCTTAGAAAGTTCTCTGGCCAACATGCCTTTTTTTGTTTTTGGGTTTTTTTTTTGGTTTTTGTAAATAGGAAGGAAGCTTGCCTCTTTTTACAGCCGTTTTGGGAATCTGAGTGGGGCGTTTTGGGTGGGGGGGTAGTTCGATCGGTCAAGAACGAATGATGGTGGACCAACCGCCCGTTGTGTAAGGGTCTGGCTATGAATTTTGGGGAATTTTCAGGGTAGACACAGGTCAATTGGATGCTGGTGAACGGAGGATAACCTCGTCTTTAACAACAGGCACACAATTCCTGTCCTTCTTGAGAGAATTTATTATATAGAGCCGTGTTTCTCAATGTTGGCCGCTTTAAGATGAGTGGACTTCAACTCTAGTCTAACCCATCTTAAAGTGGCCAAGATTGGGAAACACCGATAATAGAGATTTTTTTTTTTCCTTTTCTTCCCAATCTGGTATCCACCTCCAGCAACATTAGGACTGCAATTCCCAGCATCCTGGCTGGGGAGGGTGGGAATTGCAGTCCCAATCCAACTGCATTGTGGGGGAGGGGAGAGATAGGGGTTCAATCACGGGAACGCGGTTGCAAAGAGCTCTCGCGGAAAACCGACGCGATCCGTTGGCTAACCACAGAACGGAGTTCCGAGTTGTAAATATCATTCATGCCAACTTTTTTGGTTTTTTTTTTTGGATTCGTGCGTGAGAAGAATGCTCTCTTTTTTTTTTGTTATTTATTCAGTTGTTGCTTTCCAGCGTTTTGCCTCCCCTCACCCCCTCTTCAGAAATATATTTATTCCTGCTCTTGGGAATGAAGCTTTCCAATGACGATTAAAGGGTTACACGCAGAGTCTTGTCTCCTAAGAGGTCTGGTCATCTTTCTGAGAAAAAAAACAAAAAAATGCATTGGTGGGGGTGAGATTACATAAACACACGCGCACCATTTTCAGCTCATTAACAGAATAACAAGAATCAGAAGGGGCCTTAGAGGTCTTCTAGTCCACGTATGTTCCTTGCAAACAGCTGGTCATTTGCATCCTTTTAGAGCAGGGGGTTGCCAACCTCTCGGACTTCAGGGATCACCAAACTCATCATTTTAAATCCTGCAGACCAGAGCCCCCCTGGGAAAATCCCCCCAAAAAGTCTGCGGGAAAATCCCCCACCCCGTTCTATCGATCGATCGTTCTTTACTTGGGGTCGCAGGATACCGTCTCCAGCTCCGTTCTCAAGGGGGAAGAGAGAGACTTTTGGCTTCATGCAAGGAAAGCAGCAGAAGTCATTTCTTTCTCTCCCTCAAACTCTGCCAGAAAGGAGTCTTTGTGAGATTTGTCGCACACGCAGACTCTTGGAGCAGGAGGCCTTGCAGGGTCCCAAAGACTCATTTCTGGCGGAGTTTGGGGGAAGAGAAAGACTTTCACTGCTTTTCTTGCGTGCAGCCAAAAGCAGAAGAAGAAAGAAGCGGAAAGAAGCAACCCGGTGCCCGGGCCAGGCGCGTTGGGCGCGTGGGGTGAGTCCCCCCCCTCCGCCCTTTCCCCTCTCCCCTCACTACCTCGTGTTGCTTGCAATGCAAGTGACGCAAGCCTTGTGTTCCCACGGACCATGTGGGTGGCACAGCCTTGTGTTCCCACTACAGCCTGGATTAATTGCTTTGAGGATGAGATTTCTCTGTGGACCACCAAAATTTTCTCAAGGACCATCAGTGGTCCCCGGCCCACTGGTTGGCGACCACTGTTCTAGTCCAACCCGTACAAGCAGTGGACCTTATACCAGCATGGTTGCCTGGGGAATTCTGCGAGTTGATGTCTTCAAGTTTTAAAGTTCTGAAGTTTGGACACCCCTGTCCAGTACCATTCTGGACAAATGGTTGTCCAATTTCTTCTTGAAAACCTCCAGTGATGGAGCACCCACAACTTCTGGTGGCAAGCTGTTCCACTGGCTAGTTCTCACTGTCAGGAAATTTCTCCTTAGTTTTCAGTTGGATCTCTCCGTGCTTAATTTCCACCAATGACGACTTGTTCTGCCTTCTGGTGTTTGGGAAAACTCCCTCTTCTTTGTGGCAGCCCCTCAAATATTGGAACACTGCTATCATGTCTCCCCTAGTCTAGACCAGCGGTCGCCAACCGGTGGGCCGCGGCCCACTGGTGGGCCATGAGAAAATTTTGGCCTCAGAGAAATCTTACTCCCAGAGTACCCCCGCAAAGCAATTAATCCAGGCTGCACGGAAACACAAGGCTGCGCCGCCCACATGGCCCGCGTTAACCCTCCCCGCCCAGTCTTTACCCGGCAAACTTGCCTGCTAAATTGCTATTTTTCTGACCATCAGCTGTGAGATTTAGATTAGGTAGGAAGCAGGAAATGGTTGGATTTCTGGCTTCCTAGCTAGTCTTTAGACCTTCGGCTCTGCTTTTAAGCACAGCTGAACCTCCCTTAGGACTGAAGATTCTATTATTCAGTGCAGACTCACGTCAAGCAAATTTGAGAGACTGAGGTAGCCGATGGCAGATAGATAGATCACTGAATGATTCTGTGAGCAACTCAATCTGCCTGCCTGCTTTGCCTGATTTTGGGTAAAAGTTGCTCTCTTTTTAATAAAAAAAATTCAATATTTACAGACATAGTGTATTGTGAGTTAATTTTATGAGTTTGCTTGCAAGCAAATTTTATGTGACAGACTGAGCTAGCCGATAGCAGATAGGTAGATTTCTGAATGAATCTGTGATTCTATGAGCAACTCAATCTGCCTGCCTGCTTTGCCTGATTTTTTATATATAAAAAATAATCAATATATAAATATAATATTTACATACAAGCCATGCCCAGCCAGTCACATGACCACCAAGCCACACCCACAAATTAGGCCATGCCCACATAACCGGTTAGTGGTTCCTGGGATTTAAAATTATGAGTTTGGTGGTCCCTGAGGTCCAAAAGGTTGACGACCCCTGGTCTAGACATAGAAGAAGAACTACTTTATTATTGTACAAGTACAACGAAACTGTGGATGCACCCCAGCAACTGTTCGCAATACAATAAAACCAAAGCACTTAAAAATGAAGATAAGAAAAATAGAGTACCCGCGTCTCCATTTGCAATTAGAGAGTACAATATCTACGAATATACACAAAAGATATATCCAACACTGAGTGTGTACCCAAAAGATCTAATATTTAAATGCAAAGCTGTGCGGGACTTTTCTTCTTGCTTCAAAGTGGGGTCAGGGCAACTGATTGGAACTGAGCATTTACCGGCCGGATGCTCTTTCCGATGCCTCTGTGGCGTTCACAGCAGACAATACCTCATTGCACACGCAGA